AATTTAAATTAAAAAAATATTTATTAATTTAAAATAAAGGATAAAAAGAAACTTCTTAATTTCTTGGGTTTGATTTTTAAAAATTTTAAATCACCTTTTTTTTTCCTTGATTTTCAGTTAGATTTAAGAGAATAACAATTCATGATTTCATGTGATGGTACGAGATTTTTTATGATAATTACGTAAATTCCTTTGTCAGTGATCCTGAGTATTAGACATTTTGTGCTTATCTCTTTAAGATTGGACCATAACAAATTGCCTCACAGTAACGTAATCTTATTGAGGCTCTTTTCTCGCGTATCGTATTCATTTTATTGGGCCCTCGAGATATTCGCTGAAGATTTCTTTGACTTTATTGATCATTATTGGTGGGGATTAAAGGCTGCTGATACAGAGAAAATGAAAGATAATGTGAGAAAATAAGGGATGTTCTATTAGCTTTTGATAAATATTTTAAGGAAAAACATAAGAAAAATTTAATAAAAAATAAAAAAAGATTTTTGATATATTTTTTATATGGTTGTCTAGAAACCCAACAATTATGGAATAATTCTAAAGAAAATAACAAGAAGAGAAAGCTAGAGGTCGAAGAAGACAACATTCTTTACTCCCAAAAATGATACACAAAACTACTAAAAATAACCTAACCTTATTAGAATGACCTCAGACATAACATAAAACGACAACACATAATTGATCTTATATGACAACCATATTTTGAAAACTTAGAAATTTGGGTTCCTTGAACCCATGTTGCTAGGTTCCGTGGAACCTAGCACTGGGTTTGTTTAACGCAGATCACTGGGTTCAAACAACCTAGTAGCCAAAGGAGGAAGAAAGAAAGAGGGGGAAGAAGGTTCGGTGGGTCGCAACAGGAGGAGGAAAAAAGAGAAAGCAAGATGGGGAAGAAGAGAAAAAGGGGGGAGAAGGTTTAATGGATTCTAGCTTTGCTGGGTTCGATCAGCAGAGGAGGTAACAGCAGGAGGAGGAAGAAAGAGAAAGAAAGAGGGGGAAGATAGGTCGAGAGGTTTTTTTTATATTAAAAATATAAAGATTTATCTGATGTGGTATTTTATTTATTCATGTCATCATTTTTTCTAGTTGGATGATCCATGTCATCATTTTTTTTCAGTTGGATTATCCATGTCATCAAAAAATATATAAAAAATGCCACATGGACGAAATTAACAGCCTAAACTGATAGAAGAATCAATTGTGTAGTTCTTAGAGTTCAAGGATCAAAAAAGTGCAAAAAATAGTTTAAAGACCAAAAAAGTACAACTCAATAAAGTTGAGGGACCAAAATTAGCATTTTACTTAATTATAAACTTAACCATCTTAATTGGGTATTCAGAATGCATGGGTGAACTCTACAAAAAAATCTTGATACTTATCTTGATCCTACACCAATAAGATTTATTTTGCTTGTGGGCATTATTTTGATTCTTTATATAAACTATGTATAATTGATTCCATATACCTAGGTTCTATATAAACATGATAGAGGAAATTTTTAAATTCCATTTTTTTTAAAGAAATATTATATTATATATGTTGATTGATTTTTATTTGCTTTTACAGTAAATGCATATTATCTCAATCTTATTATATTTTCAAAATTTTGACTATTTTTCATGACTGCTAAATTCTGCAACACAATTCAACTTAACCAAGTAGGTATTCCAAGTTTCAATTCTCTCAATAGTTTTTCCCCTTATCACCTACTCAATTCTTGAGAAAATTTGCGAAAATTGAGAGATTAATAGTACTTAAAATAGTTTTTTTTTAGTTGTCTTGTTAGGCTATGGTGTGCGTTGGTATTCGAATTATTGGTGGGGTATCTTTTGGACGGGGAAACCAAAATGGTTTGTCTTTGTTTGATGTACAACCAAATCAAAGAGAAATACGTTTGCTGGAAAATTATTTGTTCAATAAAAGTAGTAAGGTAAATTATTTGTTCAAAAAAGTAGTAAGATTGGTGTTGCACCTTTTATAAAAAAGTCAAAAATAACTTGAGTTTTTCAATTCTTTCCGTGTATCACTTCTCTACAATTGCTTAAAAGTTTTTTTAGTTACATTTTTTTGACTATATTTGTCAAGTAAATGTGCAAATTGACGTGCAAAAAATATGATATATGTAAATCAATGTTGCACCTTTTATAAAAAAGCCAAAGATAACTTGAGTTTTTCAATCCTCTTTGTCCATCACGTCCTTGCAACTGCTTATAAGTTTCCTTAGTTACATTTTCTTGACCACATTTGTAAGTACATGTGGAAATTGACATGCAATAAAAATGATATATGTACATGCCAATATGTAATGCAAGAGTGGAAGAGTTTCCAATTGAATTGGAACCAATTTTTAAATTTTGAATTGAAATCATAGTGCCATGATTAAAACTCAATTAAGTCTTTAGTCAAATTTGTTTATAATCTTTTCCTTCTTTCATATATATAGAGTGCATCCTTAATTTTTTTTTATTAATCATTCAAAATCATTCTAAAAAATTAAAAATGTAGGAAATTAACAAATACATAAAGTTTGGAATGAGAACCGCAGGAAATTAACAAATACACCTCAATTTAAAACACTCTATATATACTCTTCTAGAGTACTCAATTACGACGAACAAAGATATGGGAATTTTCACAATGCTCTGTACACCACTCTGCCTTCCGTTTTTCTTCCTCTGTCTTAAAGCCGCCTTCTCATCCTCCATACATGCTTCTTCCCTCTCAGCAGCACAACTCTGCTCTCATGAGGAGGCTCTTGCTTTGCTGCAATTCAAGACCTCCTTTTCCATCAATTTCATTGCTTCTAATCCTGATTTATGTGAACATTATTATACCAAACCTTATTCTAAAACTGAATCATGGAAGGAAGGTATAGACTGTTGTTCCTGGGATGGGGTTAGCTGTGATAATGTCATAGGTCATGTAATCGCCCTTGATCTCAGCTGCAGTCTCCTTTTTGGTACCTTTCCTTTCAACAGCACTCTTTTTCTCCTCAAAAACCTGCAGAGCCTCAATCTTGCCTTCAATGATTTTAGGCTGTCCAAGATTCCACCAGAAATTAGTCAGTTTACGAGACTGAAGCATCTTGATGTTTCTTCTTCTCGATTTTTGGGCCAAGTTCCAGCAGAAATTGCTCACCTCCCCAAGTTAGTTTCTCTCAATCTCTCTAATCATTATGATTCTTCTCACTTGATCCTTGAAACAACTACCTTCAAAAATCTTGTTCATAACTTGAGTGAGGTGAGAGAACTTGATCTTCGTGGAGTGAACATGACATCTGTTAATCCTCGTTTCTTCATGAATCTCTCTTCTTCTTTGACTACTCTTGATCTTTTCAATAGTGGGTTAAGAGGAAATTTTCCAAACAGTATTTTCCACTTTCCAAATCTCAAGAATTTTTATTTAAGTGGAGAGCAAAACCTCACTATTGATCTTCCAAGTTTCAATTGGAGCAGTCCTCTCCAACGGTTGTATTTAGGTGATATGGATTGCGGAAGGCAATTGCCAGAGTCTATAGGAGATCTAAAGTCATTACAGTATCTGTGTCTTAGCTGCAACTTGGAAGTTTCCATTCCAGCTTCCATAGGTAAGTTAAGGCAACTTACTAGCCTATACCTCTGTCTTAACAATCTTAGCGGAGAAATCCCATCATCACTTGCAAACCTCACCCAACTTAGTGATCTTGACCTTTCAAATAATCAGTTTTCTGGTCCCATTCCAGCTTCCATAGGTAACTTAAGGCAACTTACTAGACTAGCCCTCTATTCTAACAATCTTAGCGGAGAAATCCCATCATCACTTGCAAACCTCACCCAACTTAGTGACCTTGACCTTTCACATAATCAGTTTTCTGGTCTCATTCCAGCTTCCATAGGTAACTTAAGGCAGCTTACTAGACTAGCCCTCTATTCTAACAATCTTAGCGGAGAAATCCCATCATCACTTACAAACCTCTCCCAACTTACCTTTCTTCACCTTTCAAATAATCAGTTTTCTGGTCCCATTCCAGCTTCCATAGGCAACTTACAGCAACTTACTAGACTAGCCCTCTATTCTAACAATCTTAGCGGACAAATCACACCATCACTTGCAAACCTCACACAACTTAGTGATCTTGACCTTTCAAATAATCAGTTTTCTGGTCCCATTCCTTTTCATGCTATTAGGTTTTCCAAACTAATGCATCTAGACTTATCTTATAACTTACTTAATGGTACGTTGCCACCTTGGATTTTCACCATGCCTTTGTTAGAGTACTTTTATCTCAATCATAACCAATTTCAAGGTCAAATAAGTCAATTCCAGCAAAACTCACTCACACACATAGATTTGTCAAACAATAAACTCCAAGGTTCAATTCCTAACTCAATTGCTAATTTAGTAAATCTTAGTTATCTGGATTTATCATCAAATCATTTTAGTGATTTAGTAGAACCTGACATGTTCTTGGCTCTTCAAAATCTGGAAACCATCTTTCTTTCAGACAATAATCTGTCCTTGAGAATGAATGTCAATGCCAACTTCACATTACCCAAACTAACTGATGTTTCCTTTTCTTCTTGTAACTTGAGTGAATTCCCCAA